GAAATTTTGCAAGTTCGTTCTTGAAAACTCCATTGGTAAGAAGTTTTTGTCCACTTTGGCGTATTGTTTGTTCTGGCCTTGTTATGACACAGACAGAATCAACGGCCCCTCGTAGTCTCCTCTCACTGTCTTTGATGGAATTCTCTACATATTTGTCAAGACAAACGTGTGCTTCATTTGCATCATATGAACAGACTGCTGACAATATTCTCCTAGCAATTGATCCATAGGATGCGCCTATGTTTGTTTGCGTGAGGATCGAATGGAGAAGAAGGCCACCATCATAGACATGAACATAATTCCTTGGAAGCTCCGACTCTGTGACAGGTTCAGTCTGTAGGGACTCCAGTTTCTTCAGAAGTACCGATTTATTAGTTTTAACATGGGTCCCATCACAATGTGCAAGCGATAATGGGTATGTAGTAATTGGGTAGGAGAGAACATTTTTTAGATCAAAGTTTGTCTCCTCTGCAACAACAATAATCATACGTATAAACATATCCCTTAGGCTTTCAGCGTTTGTCTTTGCTCCCTGTAAGGCCGGTGACTTGGTTTTCTTCTTGACATTTTCAGCAGCAAAGTTTTGTACTCGTGTACGTTTGACTGGTTGAAGAAAGCGATGGTTGTTGCTGTCCCATTCATGTAAGAATTTTTCCCTTGCATCCTCACCCCTTTTCAGTGTATTCAGCAACATTGACCAAGCAACCTAAAGTTTCACTTTTGAAAGGATTGCAAAATTCATCAATTTTTGCACTCAATGCTGCCATTTGACTGTTGTCCTTTTTTATTCTTGAAGGACGACACTGGGCAGCTGCAGTTTCCCCTAGTTCCAGCCCAGCTAATGTTCTTAACTCAGTTACAGCCATAGCTCTCTGGGTCATGCTTAACGACCACCTTCGCATGGCAGTTTCTGAATGCGACAATCCCTTTCATTTGAGATGCTGCATCACGGTTCACAGACTGTTCTAAAGACAGGTCAACAGCTGATCTACTGTAATCTTTGGTAGTACGTCTGACCGAAAATGCACCCTTTTCCAAAATCTCAATCAACTTAGGGTCACATGATTTCAGCTTCTGAAGGAAAAGCGTTCCCCATCTGGCATAGTTAGGACGATTGAGGCTGAAGAATACACCAAGTATCATTGGAAACACATTGATATAACTATTGACATCATTTGTCTTCACACATCTCTGCAACTCTCTGTGCAGACGATTGATGAGGAAGATGTAAGTTGCCCAGAATTGAGCTGTTGGTCCTTGGCTACCATCAATAATCATCTGGAAGAATTCCTCATACTTCTCAAGATGCTGCAATACAACTGGATCTAAAAGATGCACTTCTGCCTGGTTTGCATTTGAAGGTAATGTGTGCATCACTAGTACGACTGACTCATATTCTTCTTCGGGTAAGTCCAGAAGAAAACGTTGATATAGCTTCTGCTCCAAGACATTTGCCAGCAATTCATGAATTCTTAGCAGTTGTAAATTTGCCTTTGATGAATCCCATCATTGATCCTTCAGCAAGGATGTCTGCCTCTGTAAGTATGAACTCTATTCCTGTTTCATTTATCAACTGCACCGTAGAAATCTAGTTCAACATGAAAATTACCAAGCATGATTAACAGGTTGTCAAACATTGGACTTTCTATTGCTTGTATAGAGTATGCTTTCAAAGCCACAGCCAAATCATAGGTAACAATGGAATAATCTTGTCCTGTTTCCCTTGCAACATTCATGTTGCGGATCATTGTCTCTTTGACTACATCATTGTTAGTTGGCGATCTAGATATAGGGTCCATGTAGCAAATTCGTTGCATCGGTAAGACATCCTTGATGTACATGCTGATAAATCCAGCATACAGTGGTGTGTTGCCCTCAAACAATTTCCAAAGCCAACAGAGATCCAGTGCTTTCATTGCCAGTTTTACTTTCCTCTGGATTACATTTGGTTCTGTAGATTTAGATGTAATCATATTGGATGTTTCAGCCGTATCTGTAGATTCAGCTGTAATTGCGTTGGAAGATTCAGACATATTAGCACTCGTGACAAACATAGCCGTATTGAGAGGTTTCCTAAATGGGGGTATCTCTCGTTGACTTCCAACAAACCTTCGTCGGTTCCTTCCATCTCGAAATTCTATTGGAATGTTATTTGTTTCTCTGTCATGCTGCAAAATATTCTGGTATGTATGACCGACAGTGGCGTGTAATGTTTCTTTGCCATCTAATGTTTCTATGTTGGCATCATTGTTGTCCCAGACACAGGCAGTTGCTAAACCTGGTTCAAGTCGAATACCATCAGGAGTGTCACGTTCATCAGATTCTACTGAATATGCAAATTCTGTCTCCAGACCTTTTGTTTCACTGTAACTGATGCTGTGTCCCGCTCTGTTTAAAATCTGCTTGGATAGCTTGGATCCGGTGAGAGATGCTAAGCCAAGACCCAAAGCAATGTGCTTCCATGGTTTAACTGTACCACGAGAAACATTGTAAATTGCATCAGAAGCCATTGCAGTCACCTTGCGATCTATTGTATCCTTGAATGAGCCTTGGGGACTTTTTGTCAATCCACAGAGGAGAGACTCCTGAAAAAGAGATCCAACTGCTCTGGTATTTCTTGGGCACATTCCTTCAAATTTTGCACTGTTGTGGGATTCGGAGTTTTAAATTTTGGCAGCTGCATTATCTTTGAACGAATATGAAGAGCTGCCCATCGTAATTTGTCATCCTCTTGGTGTCGTTCAGCATCCTCATGAAGTTGGGCTCTGGCATCTTCTGTTACAGTACAACTGTGAATGAAGTTTCCCTTCCGATAATCAGCTAACTTGGTATTGATTTTTGATCCTAACTTGTCATTAATCTTTCTGAGAAGATTCTGAGCTGTGTAGGTCACAATGTCTGCCCTTTCACCCCCAATACCTGTAAACTCAACTTTGTACACGTCTAGTAAATCGGAGACTAAGACAGATGGCTTGTTGTCTATTACTTCAGTTTCAATATAGGTGCACAAAGAGGTAAATGCCGTCTTGTGGTAATACTGAGACGTATTAAAAAAAACAACTACTTACCGTTTTCTTTGAGTGTAAAAGTGACAGAAAGGCCTTTCAATTCAGGCCTCCATTTTATTTCCAGGGAAGCCATTCTAATGGTATAGATAACATTTTCAGACCACAATATCATAAAATTAAACCATTAGCTAACATGGTCACTTTTTTAATATTTTCTTTTCAGAATTATTATAAATGTCAAGCAGGGGTTTTCCACCACAGAAAATGTCTGGCAGTGGTCATTCTTGATACACGAAACAACGACGAACATTTTACAAAAGGTTTCATGCGGTTAGCTCATGGGCTAACCTAGGTTATTTTAGGGGGCTCATTTGGGGGCGTCTGGCAGGGGTTTTCCACCACAGAAAATGTCTGGCAGTGGTCATTCTTGATACACATGTTAAAGACGAAGATTTTACAAAAGGTTTCATGCGGTTAGCTCATGGGCTAACCTAGGTTATTTTAGGGGGTGGGGTCATTTGGGGGCGTCTGGCAGGGGTTTTCCACCACAGAAAATGTCTGGCAGTGGTCATTCTTGATACACATGTTAAAGACGAAGATTTTACAAAAGGTTTCATGCGGTTAGCTCATGGGCTAACCTAGGTTATTTTAGGGGGTGGGGTCATTTGGGGGCGTCTGGCAGGGGTTTTCCACTACAGAAAATGTCTGGCAGTGGTCATTCTTGATACACATGTTAAAGACGAAGATTTTACAAAAGGTTTCATGCAGTTAGCTCATAAGCTGATCTAGCTCAATTTTCTTGTATCGGATATCATTGTCTGGCGGACACAGTCCACCACTGGAAATGTCTGGCAAAAGTCATTTATAGTATATGGCTGTATGCTGACCACTTTGGTACTAGTTTCTATTAGTTATTTGACAAGCTGAACTAGCCTATCATAATGGTACTCTTCTTTGACCTCTCCTGGCCACACCCACCAATACATGCCCGGCAGACGTCCATTTCCTTTAAAGGGAATGTCCATGGAGAATAGTGATACATATAAGAATTGGTTAGTTTTTCAGCTAGGCTGACCCCTCTGGGCTCCTGCTCTAAATGTACTTTGTCAAGCATTTGGCAAGGCAAAGTACACAATTTGATAGATTCTGCTATCCTTTTGAGCGCCACCTGCACATAGTCGTTCAAGAGTTCACAAAGGACAAAACACAAAATTGTGTTGGAATAAAATAACATAACCTTTTAAAGCGACACAAGTAAAAAATGACAATTATATACTTGATATATTCTCCTAGGAAAGGAATTAATTTTAACTAAAATAGGTATGTAGGTCAAACTTCAAGATTATAACAAAATATCTAACATTGCTTAAAAACACAGATTGATTAATAATAAGGCGAATATAAGGATAGCCATTCAAAGGATATTACTATTTCTTTATACTTTTTTACAGAATGTCCAGTCCAAAAACAGAACATTTCAAAGGTCAAAGTTACCGTAAAATAAAGTCTCAATGCATAAAGAAGAAGGGACTTTTTGTAGATACGTCATTTCCGGCGTGTGGTCCCAGTGTATTCCATTCAAGACCTGCACCAGCAGATATCATTTGGAAAAGACCAAAGGTAAAATCATATTGTAATAATGCACAGCCTCCGAAACATCCAGGTCTTTGCCGATCTGCGACTTAGCTTGCCGACCTTCTTTTGTATTTTGGTATTCCACAATTACTGACTCTATTGGTGGACAAGATTGACTCACTCAAGTCTTTTACCTTTAACAAGAATTTACGTATAAGAACGTAGGCTTGCTGGCAGAATGCAATAATTACTAAAACCCCACACTTCGCATTACGTATTTGGAATAGTCCCGCACCCCCACGTGCACTTTTCTAATCAATTATCTCCTTCGGTTGTCTTCAGCTGTCTACAGTTAACCAAGGTACCAAGGATATTCCTTCAGATTATAATTATCCATAATGATATTTACAGGATATTGTTCCAGACCCTAAATTTTTCATAGATAAAGCTAGTGCTGATGATTTTGCTCAAGGAACTTTAGGAAATTGTTGGTTTGTTGCTGCTTGTGCTTGTATCGCTGAGGATTCCAGTCTTTGGAAGAAGGTAGGAGAACAATATTACAATGCAAGATTATTATAGTTATGTGGGGTAAAGGGAATGGCTTCATACACCGACAGAGCTACAGACATTGGCAGAAAACCTGTCCCTTTCACTAGCAGGTAGTGGCAAAACTATCATATCAGGACTGGCTGAACCAAACTAACGAGGCCCTACCCCTAAGGGGGGACCCATCCCAAGATGCGCAAGAGAGTATATATGGGGCCCCAACCCTCGGGCTCCCATTTATCTAGTTGAGCCATTGTTAGAATTGGCAGCTTCTCTCGTAGTTCTAAAGTTCCTAGATTATGACCAATGTTGCTGATTATTTTCTAGTTATATCTGAAATCGTAGAATTATATTCATATTTGAAGGAACGTCCCTAAGTATTTGCGTAATGTACATGATGCCATCTTCTCCCATCAGTCACCCTAAAAACAAACGAAACTAAGAGCTAACGATGCCACATCGTGCCTTACTTTTTTCTATTTTTTCTATAGGTCGTACCTGACTATCATGAACAAGAGTGGTGTAAAGAAAATAAATATGCTGGTATATTCCACTTTAGATTTTGGAGATGTGGAAAATGGTTGGATGTTGTCATTGACGACCAGTTACCAACCAGGGGTGGAAAACTCATCTTCTTACATTCTAAATCTAGAAATGAATTTTGGTCAGCCTTGTTAGAAAAGGCTTATGCTAAGTATGTACTTTCATAGTCAATGTATCATCTTGTGGAATGACACTGTTAAAAATTTCAGACCTTGATCAAAACATTGATAAAATAATGATGGCAATTGCTATAAAATACCAATAGAGCTGAAGGATTTAATTGAGAAATGTATTCCATACTATCAGCTAGAATAAACCTCGAAATTCTTCATTTTAGCATCAAAAACAACCCTTTGCTCGACTAACTGCATAACCAAATATGCCCATCAAATAATGAACATTATAAGCTACATAGGCTACCTCTGTCGTTTGACCCATTTGCAAACCAATAAAGACATCCCGGTAAATGCAAGGCCAAACACAAGATGCTTTGTAACTTCTGGTTGTAGGTTATTTGGAAGTTATGAAGCTTTAACAGCAGGTAAATCAAGAGATGCTATGGTAGATTTAACTGGTGGTGCAGGAGAGACATTAGATATGATAGACTATAGAGGAGAAGAGAAGAAAATGAGATTATTTGACATTCTTCATAAGGCTAAAGAAAATAATTCATTGATGTGTGCCTCCATACAGGTCAGTTGAGCCACTTTTTCATTTGCTAGGTTTATAGATTTAAAGGGAGTCCATGACAAATATCCTGGCAAAGAATTGTGTAGCCAGCGGTAATAACTACACTATCCAATTTCACAGATTTTTTTTTTTTATCATAATGAAGGAACCAGAATTAGTATTTTATTGTGGGAAGTGATGCAGATCGTTTAAATTAAGCTCAATCCGCCACTGAAGCTGAGTTGACCTATCCATGAGTATGGGAGTTGTCTCACCCAAACAACCGCCACAACCGGAAGTTAATATTGGCGTGAAAATTGGTATTGGTGTGGTTATGAAAAGTACAATTTAAAAAAATGGGTTACTCTATTTCTTTATATGTCATTATGTTTGACTCAAGAAGTGAAACCCCCTAATGCGTTTGATGTCTGGAAAGTGAATTTGCATTTCTGAGAAGGTTGACAGCTTCCGTTCTTGGGCTATTTATACATTTGAAAAGAAACAACAATGGGTGTAAATGCCAGATTTACATTGATATACAGAGTATCATAGTAGTGTATTTTTAATATATAATACTTGTTGCATTCTACAGTCTACAAGAAAGGGAGAAGTGCCAATGATTCCTATCAAGAGCGTGAAAATAACATTGTCTTAATGTATTATACATATACCTACTATTTAGTTACTAAACGTACTTTGTAGGTCTATACAATTTAAAAGAATATTGCCCTCCTACTGTGACGTAACGAACTAGTTTTAGAGCAGACACCCCCGATACATTTGGCTTTGACTGTGGTTGGGTTCGAATTGTGCGATCACAGATCATCCTATGAATAATTCTCAATTGCGACTACAATCAAAGGTCCTTGAACTGAAGAAAATAATCTGTTCATTCAGTGGTATGTACAGCTACATGGAATGTATTTCTACATGGGTGTATTAAAAGAAACGTTTTTTTTTTGGTTATTCGGATAATCTCAATTCATTTTGATTTCTCTTATGTTCCTTTAGAGTGGAAGGACTTACGCAGGACGGGCCCCGATTGACGTAGAAGTGGCGCCACAGTATGCTTCAAAGTTCATGCTTGCATAAAAATGAATTTCATCAAAATATCTTTAGAAGATCTATTTCAAGTAGAGAATGAAATTGATATTTATAATAGAATGAATGGTTTATATTGTTTGTTTAACGGTCAATTATTTATAGTCTATAGTTTTACCATCTTGGCACGGTTAGCTTGTATCTAAATTAACCTCTTAACTAAAGAATGTTCAATAATTTAGCCTTCTTCATACCAGCTCAAACAGAGAAACATTCAGAAAACTGGTGTTATTAACTGTCTAAAATAGTAGCAAGAAGCAAATGCAGACAAGAGATGGAAAAAAAAATACGAAATGTATCCATTTTTTTCCAAAAAATCTATTTTAGCAATTTACGTGCACACGTCAGAAAAGAGCTGGGAATTTTGCCACAATTATTGAGTCCATTTCTGCCCCTTGAGATACAAAATGCTCGTGGTAGCTAATAGGGTATTCAGTTATTTTGTTCTTATAAGTACAAATCATTGTTTCAGACTTCTGTTGTTACCTAAATGAGATTCAAATCAGGTCTTTTGCACTGTACACAGAACACTTATAGCTTTTCTTAGCACCATTCCGATTTATTAACGATCATCTGTGGTTCCTATAACTTCAATTTAGCTAAGTGTTTCTTCAATAGAAATAACAAGAATGGTGCACATTTGAGGTTTTATTATAACTTCTGTTTGCTCCGTTTCCTGTCTGACATCAATGGTTCCTGGTTCCTTTTAGGTCAGACCAACCTTTGGCCAGATGAATGATGCAGATAGAATTTGTAAGTGTTTTAGATTTGGGAGTAGAAAGACAGTTTATTCTGTTGTCTTGGCACAATTCCAGTAAGTCCAGAAGTACTTACATGGCATAATATTCTTCACACCAAGTGATTTACAACAATGATTTTTTAAAATCTGGTCAATTTTCTTTTTAATTTTTAGAAGGTGCAAAAAGCAGCTTTTTTTTGTCCACGACACACTTTACATAGGTTAGAGCCTAGTTTTTATAACTAAACGACATTCCCTTGATCAGAATTTCATTTAAATATTGATTACCGCAATCGATAGAGAGAAAATCAAACCAGTCCGAAATGACCTAGTACAGTAAATCGTTTTAAATACTATTATGAGTAGATCTGGACGATAATCCAATAGATTAAGCCTGATTGTAACGGTATATTATAAACATAATAGGTGATTAACGCTATTAATCAGCCAGCCATTACAATATTTACCCCAACATAATACAACTGTATACGTCAAAACAATAGCGTGCCTAGAAACGGCGCATGTTTTTTTCAACACTGAGGTTTAACTAAAAAAGCTATACACAGTGAATGTAGTACATCGGCAAAAACAAGTGTTTCACAGCAGAGAGCAGGGGCTATAAAAGATTGTTTAATTTGGGAACGATTCAGTATCTACTTGCAACTGTTTTGTAATATGGAGAATTCTGATTCAAGAATAAATCTACTGGAAATAGATCCCCGATTTCTATCATGGGAAAAATTGGAACGTTCAAGACTGAGAAACTTGAATCTACCAAACAGATATTCCAGAAACTTCAACATTTCCAGATCCCCGGACCAAGCTGTAGCAATGAGTTTAGATGAACCACGAGCTGTTATACAGAACATTACATCACGAACTGTCAACAGACCAATGTCCACACATTCTGTTGATTTCTCTTCTAACTCCGTAGCTCCATTTTACACCGCCGAGAAACCAACATGTGGCTATTTCTTCAGTCGTTCAACAGAAAACAAGAAGAAGAAATTTGGAATTCCACCCAGTGATTTAGTAAAGTGGAGATCTATGTCAGCTTTCCCAACAACATCCCAGTAAGACACACGTTTATGGATAAAAGTTTGGTTCTATCATTTGGTTTGTGACAGTGAAAATATAGTATTTAAGACCTTCTGATTGTCCAAAAAAAAAAAAAAAAGTAGTTAAACTGGACATTATTAGTTAGTGTTCTAAAACAGCATTTTGTGTGAACCCAGGGAAAAAGAAACAGTAGCAATAATTGGATTCAATTCGTTGAACGGAGTGTGGACACATAAATCTATAAATAATAATCTTACTGTCTTACTGTAAAAAATTACCATGTTCCTGATATCAAGCCACACAGCAATATTTAATGACCTTATTCAACCATAGCGGTATTTTTAAAGACTTATTCCAGAGCAGTATTTTTTTTTAATTTCTAGCTATAGATGTATTTCCTTCTATCTTTTATTGATATTATTGTATCTTTATTCTCATTCAGTATTCAAATCGTCGTATTCAGTATTAAATTTGTAATATATCGGGATTTTATATTTTCAAAATGGTTATTTATTTGTTTAGATTTTAACAATTTACTGTTATTGTACTTGATGGTATATCTTATTTGTATGTTTCATTGATAATATTGTTTCTTTTCATTTTATATTGTGATCATGTCTAATAATGTTTTTATTAAAAATTCTCGATTCTTGTTTGTGTCTGAATTTGTAATTCCATTAGTTTTCTTTTTCTACAGATTTGATTTTGCGGAGGGGAAAGTAATATTTTCCGAGGGGCAATAGTTTATGGTGTATAGTTGCCGTAATGAAATTGGTCGGTTCTCAGAAATTTTCAGGAGGGTAATCCATCTTTTCAGGATGGGGGGGGGGGGTCATCTTTTGGCCTTCTGTAGCTACCAATCTGTTTTGTAGCATGTGGTCGTTGTCAACTGTGTGTTATTTTGTGATTTTTAAACACTAAATTAATATGAAATTAAGGTTTTCTTCGTACATTGCTGGGCCAGATTGCATTGAGACAATGCAGCTATTTCTGGTTGGTGGTGCTGCTGCATTTGGTGGTGATTGGTTCGTCCGAAATTCCGCACTGTCAAGTCTTGTTGAAACTTTGAATAATATTGCATTATCATTTTCATCGCTCCTCACCATTTCATATACCGTCACGACTGGTTCTCTATCATAGTAACCAATCCTCAATGACAGCATGTTCTTTAAGCACCGGAAGCATATATTGTTTATATTCTACAAACAATATATGCTACTGGTGCTTAAGGAACATGGGGTGAAGATGAATCAACGTAATTCGATTTTGTGGTGTTGTTAAATCTAACTTGAGTGATAACTAGCGATTGAAGTATATTTAGAAACATATACCAGACATTGTTTTATGTTGTAGGCGAAATCTGCAGCCGAAATGGAAACTAAATTAAATATTGGTCTAGTTAGAGGTCACGCTTACAGTGTTACAGCTGTTAAAAAGATACATCTGAAAGGAACCGGGCTGTTCCATTTATTTAACAGAGAAAAAATGTTGATGATAAGATGCCGTAATCCGTGGGGTGGTATTGAATGGAAAGGACCTTGGAGTGATGGGTAAGGGAGCAAGCAATGCCTTTTCAGAGAAGAGATTCTATTGAGTTACTATTGGAGGAAGTGGTTTGGTTGACTAAAATGCAAACTCAGTTAGGAATGTAAGCTCAATTAGCTTAACACTTGACCAATATTTTATATTATGGAGTACCATGGAGCATCAAAAATCATCTAAAATACAACATGACACATCAGAATAAAATATTATGTAAAATCGTGTGTTTAACTGTAAACTTTGTGTTCGTTAACTTTTCAGATCTCATGAATGGACAAAAGTGAGTGAAAGAGAAAAGAAAGAATTGGGATTAACGTTTGACGAGAATGGGGAATTCTGGTATGTTCCTCTCATGCCCTTTTAAAATTTACATAATACGGGTTACCTAGCAAGATACCCAATACATTTTCAGTATATCAAGAGTTAAAAGTCAGTAAACTAAGCTTCAAACTGATCCAATATGTGAATAAAAAGTATCACCAAATTTCATTAAAAATCTGCAAACAACAACAAGGTATATAAAATTCTAACACAAACTGTTGTCCCTATCACGCTGGGAAGCGTACTTCCAGTATATAAAAATCAAGACAGACGGGCAAGGGCGCCGGAAATATACGTCCACGTAAAATAGACGATCGCAATACTGTAATGAAAACTTTAAAACGAATTTTACTGATTTCACTTAGAAAAGGATAAAAATAAATTTTGTTTTACAATTTATTTCAGGATGTCTTTTGATGATTTCTGTCGTTATTTTACTACAATAGATGTCTGTCATATAGTAAACACTTCTGTTTTCACCGTGAAAAAATCCTATTATAAATATGTATTGACTGGTGAATGGAGACGACCACATTTAGCTGGTGGATGTGGAAATCATAATTCTTTTCTTAAAAACCCTCAGGTAATTCTGACCTGGCTCAAGGATAGTTTAAAACCACACATTTCAGAAGTTCAATAAAAAACTAGTCATCCATAAGCGCACAAAGCGCTACTTAAATTGACAAATTTGAGTACATATTCAAATCCCTAACCAGTTGACGATTATTTTCACCTCTTTTAGTTGATAATTCTTTGATTCATTGCAATATAACTGAAAATATCCACCCATGCAGAAAACAGTTCGTTATTTACAATGTCCCGAGTCAGACAAACTATTGTATGTATTTATTGTAGTATTTATTAGATGTTTTGGTGGATGATGAAGAAATAATGATATCAATAGAGCAAGCTGACAGACGATCTGCTAGTTTTGATAAGAGGGGAGATAACTATTGTGTGGGCTATGCAATTGTCAGTGTAAGTATCACTGAAATGGAGAGTTTTTCGTCCCACTGCACAAGACAAGGTCTTTCTAGATGTGGAAAGACATTTTAGAACGTACATAGCCTTGAGAACTATTGCATTATAATAAATGAGATGCAGGCAAATATTTGAACTACTTTCAACAACAAAAGGTGACAAAAAGAGCAGGCATAGGTTATCAATCCCGATAGATTTAGGTTGATTACCACCGAACGATGTTTTCTGCCAATTATCACAGAGAGATGTGTATTTTTTATGATTTTGCATTCATTTAACGTCTTCTGATTTCAGACAGATATAAATAGAAAGTATAGAATGCATGAGCGAAGTGAGAGGGTACATGCTGGACCTTATGTAGTTTCCAGAAGTATATTTGATAGAGTTCATCTAAAGCAAGGAAGATATTGTTTACTAGTCACAACCTTTGACCCTGGATATGAAAGTAGCTATATGTTACGCTTATATTCTCAGTCTGGACTCAAAATCAAGTAAGTGTCAGTCCAGGTGTCTGTGTACATATAATGATGTCCAAATACTTGAACTATTCATGAAAGTTTTAATTAGCGCTTAGCTTGTAATCTGATGACGTTCATACCGCTTGCGTCACATACCAAATTAAAAACCTCTCTTTGGTGCTCACTATGTTCATTTTCTCCCTCCATTTTTAGAGAATTAACCAAAGATCAACCTAAACCACCCGGATGTTTAGGTAAACCAAAGATAGCAGCTACATCTATAACTATACATTATTGTGATGGTTTAAAGGATATAGACAAGGATGGTAAGTTATACCCAATATATTATAAACGATCTCTCGAAGAAAACCGACATATACATCCAAACCGTATTCAATAAGGTCTTTAAAACCGACAAAATCAACGAGGTAGACACGAACTAAATTTATTAAGCTCCTAATAACGTAAAGGAAAGGATTGATAGCTTACTTGACGTGCTGGCTACTTTTAAAGAACATGGTAACGTACTTGGAAAGGCAGGATATAAAACCTAATGAGGCATGGTAGCGTACATTGAACATTATGATAGCATACATTTAACATTATGATAGCGTACATTGAACATTATGATAGCGTACATTGAACATTATGATAGCGTACATTGAACATTGTGATAGCGTACATTGAACATTGTGATAGCGTACATTGAACATTATGATAGCGTGCATTGAACATTATGATAGCGTACATTGAACATTATGATAGCGTACATTGAACATTATGATAGCGTACATTGAATTAAATTTTATTTAGGTATAGAAGCATATTGTACAGTAAAATGTGAAGGACAGGACGTCAGAACTAGTACCAGTAAGAAATCAATTAAACCACAGTGGAAAGAAAGAATGACGTTTTATCAACGTACACCAGATGAAGATATTACAATTGACGTAAGATATCGGAATATGATTATTTTACAATTTATGATTTTTAATTCGAATATTCAGGATACGATGAACTGTCGTACGGAATTTCTTGCAATTTCCTCACAATTCTTGATTCTGTGAACATCTTAGTCTACTAGAGTAAGCGATTAAAGGCGAGAAAACCTTTTTTTTTTTGCATGAAGTACAAGAGTCATCTTTACAATGTCATGGTTTTACGATTGGCTGAATTCACAAGCGTACAAGTCAATGAAATGAATTGAGTTCATAGTACCCTGACATTGTGAAATGCCCTAGAAGGGAATCATCTTGTTTCCAGGACATGAATGTATTTTGAATACTTGAAATTGATACTAGATGGATTTTCCACGAATTTACCTTTTATTTTGCATTGAATATTATTGTAGGTATGGGATGACAATATACTGGATAGTTTTATAGGCAGTATGACAGTGTCCATGTCTAAAAGACGAGAATATAACAACAGTAATGTCATCAGAAGATATGATATCAGAAAGAAACTGGATGAACGAGAAATAGTAACTGGATATCTATGGCTCAATGTTAAGCATTCAACAAATATGACCGAGGCATAAATAACAACATAATATTGTGTCTTGGCGAATTTAAAGTGACAGGTTACAAATAAATCAAAAATTCGTGCCATAGGTAAAAAATGATTCCATCCTAAAACCAAATAAACGTTATAGCCACTCTTATATAATGACGTTTTTGTGAACCTACATTTTGGACGTTTATAAAGGCTTATCTTTTGTGTTGTCCTTTGATAGAGCTCTGTTGTAGCTTTAGGCCTTATATAACTTTTTGGAATGAAAATCCGGAACCCGGTTTGTCTTTAATTGAATACATGCAGAAGAGTGGTATAAGTTTAATCTAACACATTTAATGTCAAATATATTTTCTAATCGGGAAAGACATAAAAATTCGGAAAGAGATTCAAGAAAACGACCTATTCTCGAACTTCAAATGTTCAGAGCATATTGTTTTATGTTAATGTAGACGGACCGATTGTCGGATTTTCGATCTGAAAGGTCTAATGTCACATTTAAGATTTGAGTTGTATGGCCGGCAACATGGAAACACGACTCTACCCCTTTCACCAATGTAAATTATTTCGGTCCCTTACGTGTGGCCATTTACCAGAATAAAAACACTAACATTCTACCGGAGAGAAATTTAAATATTGTGGGTAATGTAAATGGTGGCTTTGCGACCAAACCAACTATTGCATCGGATGTACACTGCAATTATATCTCACTAAAACCGCGTTTATTGTTTTAGCTTGGTAATGACTCGCTTCAAAATTACTGAAAGTTCCACGAATAATATATCGGTATTTTTCTTTAAAAAACGAAATTTAGACTTAGAAATAAAATGATACGTTAACGAAAATAAAAATTCTGTTGTAACGTAGTGTGCATCTTATTATTAGAGCTGGGAACGAACCAGTTTAAAAGTGATTCAGGTATATACTCTGGTGCTATTATATTTGAACGACTATTACGTTTACCTTTATATACGTTCACTTTATATTTACAGAATTTTTGTACCATTTATATCTTATGACGCATTTACAATAATATGTAATGATTGATTCTTTCTTATAAAAATGTTTGAATAATTTGTTTCATATACTTAACATTCAAAAGCAGTATTTGCCAAGGCATTTTCAGATTCTAGGTACATTGAAAATCTTATTCATTTTATGGCCTTACACAGACAGCAAATTACACTTGACAAATTGTGGACCGACAATACAACGATGACTTGTATGACTATTTTGTCCAAGGAGAGGAAGAAAATTGAGGTTTGGCTGGTTATATTTCACCCCATACGAAACTACGCATGTTTTTTACATAGAAATAATACACACAAACGTTGTTCACAACCATTTTGAATCTCTTTCTCGACTTAATTAGTCGAATTTTTAAAAGAGCTATAAAATAAAAGGTTTTAAGATGGCTTTATCTTTTATTAAGGCATCGTTGAAATATTACAGCCTTTTAAAAAATTCGGCATAAGTCGAAGAAGAGATTCAAAGTGGTTTTAAACTACGTTCATATGTGTTATTCTGTTTCGTGACAAAATGTCAGAGAAATGGTATAATAGCTGAATATTTATCATGCTATGAGCGAGATGTTCCAGATAAAGGTTATACGACTGAACATGGCATTAAAGTTTTTACCCTTCCAAATGGAAATTCGCAAACCCTTTGTAAATGCATTTGAAATAATATGTTGACAATAAAACTGTTGATAGAGGCTACTTGTTAGATTACTATGACATTTCTATTTTGTTCAAATGAGAAGGTACATGTATACCTATAAGAGATAACAATAATATTCTTAAATTACTTCTATTCGATTTCTGATAACAATTCAATAAAACCAAACACTTGGATTGCCTCGGGCACATATTGTAAAACATTGAAGATAATATCATTTTAAACCTACATATTCCTTATTTTGATAGCGCTGGGGTAGAGCTACTTAGCCTGTCATATCAAAATTCTATCCAGTCATTAAAAATTCAATCAATATTCCGTGACCAGTATGGATCAAGATATCTGATCCACTAAGAACATGAAATTTGCTAGAGAAATGTTAAAAATAGTCGTGTTATTGAAATAACTGATCGCGTTACTGATATCACTGAAAATGTAACTGATATCGCTGACCATGTTACTGATATCACTAATCGTGTGACTGATATCACTGATCTAGTTACTGATATCGCTGATCAAGCTACTGAAATCAGTTATCGTGCTACTGATATCACTGATCGTTTTGTTGAAATAACTGATCATGTTACTGAAATTATTGATCGATTTACTGAAATGAATGATCGTATTAGTGATATCACCGACAGTGTTACTGATATCACTAATCATGTTACTGAAATCACTGATTGTGTTACTAAAACAGCTAATAGTGTTACTGCATGATATCACTGATCCTGTTACTGGTATCACTTATCATTGGTCGTGTTAATGAAATATCTGCTTGTGATTCTGAAATCACTGACACAGACATCTAAAGATCTCAAGCAATTGAAAATGACCTACAATTTTTTAACAAGAGACCCAGAACTAAGGACAATCTGACTACCTACTTATTAGTCTTACAATATTTAAGGTAGGCTTTGGTAAACCTTGTGACAGATATCAACTGGGTTACTAACGACTAACAGCAAGTGACAATATCTGAGAGCATTTGACAATCGCAGTTGTCATCAGTTGCTCATGTTCTAATTTTCTGCCAGAAAATATTGTCGATCCGAACGGTCGCAATCTGTAGTCAACCAGCATGGTGGCAGTCTTCGATACAAGCGTTTTTGCACATTTCGACTGTTAAGGATCTGAGTATTATTTAATTGCCAGTCGTCATGAAACTTTAACATTAATATTTTTTTTTTAAATTAATAAGGAAACGGTCGAGCCTTTTTCTGTATACTAACGACATAATAAGATCGACAGTATAAACAGTAGGGAATCTGATAATTGATCTTATAAGGACATTGATTTCAATCAAACTTCAAGTTAGAATATTACTCTGACTATCTTATATAAACTTTGACATCGATATTCTAAGTAGATTTAACATCTTATAAAGTAGAGCCTATATCTGCTGAAAAATACACTGCTCTTTTTATATTAACAATGAAGTATACGCCAACATTAGTGCAGCGTACATGTTTATGGAATGACTTCATCTCCACTACATGGGTAAAAACCACAAACCGTGAACAAGTCATTCATGCTGATCAATCATTGATCATTAGCCTATCATTTCATCGTAGCTACAGGGGTGGTACAATTGCAAAAATTCCGACAACCGACCAATTCCATTACAGCAATTAACCACCATATAATTTTACCTTTCCGCACCTAGTATTTGCCCCTCCGAAATATCAAGTCTGGCTGTGGGTCTGCTCCTCTGTAATATATAAGTTTATGGTGTAATAGAAGCAAATTCGACCAAAAGTAAGAAGTGATTTTTTTTTTAAATTATGCATTATTGATCCATTTTAACTTTTAATTTGCGCAACTTCCTTGGTGATCCCACTTGTTTGAAATTTTCATCAGCAATACCGACATATTGTGTACTTCATATGGTCACATTAATTCAATGCAAAATTGTTGAAATGTTAACAATTATAAAGCCATACATTATAAAAAGTGAAAAATCGAAGTTCATTTACTGTTATCAATTTAAACCCGATAAATCAACTGAAAAAACTCCTCATACAACTTCCTTATTAGATTTGTCCGAGAAGCCCGACAGCAGGATTCAATGACGTTAAAAAAATGATACATCTATCAAAACCTTATTTAACGCCTTCATCTGAAAAATCATCAACATCTGAAAGGTAGCGAGCCGTTGAAATAAATCCGTCATCTAGCCCTTCAGGTATCAGACTTACTTTCTTGACATGAAAGTCTGATTACTGCCCTTGACGCCACCGTCATTTTGGGGGATGCGAACGCTTTATTTCATCGCTAAAATGTCTGTTTCCGCTAGTTAGTAATATAATTTCTATTACCAAAGCCAATTGTATAAATTCATGTTGACAGGTCATCACTTGCATCAGATGTTGTGTTCTTCTGTTTGTATTTTGGTCGACTTTGGCTATGGAAGAGAGGAATGGAATTTTTTTATAATCTGTTCCGTGTTGATTCGAGTCTCATGTGTGCACATTTTCTAAGATTGTATTAATTAACTTAAAAGCTTTTTAACTGTTCCATCTAATCTGGAAAAAGAAAATTAAAAGACGACTTTTTCTGGATATAAAATTAGTTAGAGTTAAAATCTATCGAAAACCAATATTAGAATCTACATCTAAATCGTACTATGTTGTTGATTTAAATATTACGTTGCTAATATGTGTAGGCTAAACAAAATATTTAGAACTAGTCAATATAAGATAAGAGTTTTTCTTAACTTTGATAATTGTTTTTACAAAAGGAAACAAGTATATAAATGCACTTAATTTAACTGAGTTTTTATTGAAGGGAGAAGAAAATAATAAGTTGCTTTAAATAATTGATAGTAGAAAAGTATAAGCATTTTGATAAACTGTGAAAGAATATTAGTTTTTCAGAT